AAAAAAACCCCAAACAATAAAACCTCCTCTATCTTCATAATCTCTTTATCAGTTCGGTTCATTCAAGTTCTGGCACTTTTTCCACTGCAGTGGCAAATTCACTGGAACTGTTACAGACTATTTGTAGCTGGAGCCTACTGACACCAATGAGTTCTATAGGAAAACCAGTGTAGTCTGCCAATTGTTTATGACATAAATTTCACTATTTGAAACAGTCTTTATGAACTACATATTGCATTTGAATTTGAATAAATACTGAGACAGATTGATATGATTAAGCATATATTAATAAAGCATCATTCATTTAATTTTCCAGTTCTTTGATCATTCTTAATCTAAAGATTGGCTTACTTTTTTGCAATATTTAGGCAAGCATCTTTTGTCCTTAATACCCTAAGTATTCAAAGGTCATTTCTCTTTAACTAAAAATAAAAACAAAAAGAAGGATGATTTCATTTCCCTTCGTTGACTCATTTTACAATCATTTCTAACTCTATTGTCTGAACATAAGAGGAAAAAATATTTCTACAAAGCCAGGCCTATGTCCTTTGAAGACAACACAAAAGAGAAGCATTCTTCTTGTGATCAAGTTTTGTGCATGTTCCAGTTTCCTTAACAAGGTTAACCCCACTGTGGTATGCAAAACTCTAGTGAAAGGAATAATTTCAGATGTTTTCTTTATGCTGTTCGTTTATAGTTTATGGGAAAAGGCTGCCCTCTTCTGACAATTTTTCACTTTCTTTGAAAATCTTCACACATTTTTCTAATCTCAGTTTATGGTTTCCCCTTTGTTTCTCCATAGATTGTATCAGTAGGACTGTTATCCCTACTCCTTATGCTCACACTCAGAATGATATAACATAGAAATGAGAAGGTTGAAAGCACCATTCAATTAATGTGTAAACTGCATGTATTTGATAAACATGATAAAAATCACCCCCTCTTCATACTCAGTCAAGCAGGGAGCAAGTGGGTGTCTGGTATTTTGAGCTGTGGTAGAAATATTAACTGCTATACCCCCAATGTTTAAACAGGTGTCATCTTCCCATTTTCCAGACACACCCATTGTATGGATCTCTTTATCCACAGCACTTTGGCAGTATCTGCATAAGCCTTTTAATCTGAATCCTGACTTACCACATCCAACTTCGCCTTGCAGGCTGGTCTCAGAACAGGCAGAGTGGGCTGCTTTCAAATTAAATTAAATAGAAAGATGCTTTCCAGGAGCACACCTAATGCACTCTGATCAGTGTTAGGACTCAGCTCTTACATTCCTACAATACACAAAAGGATGCAAGGGCTGAAAATAGAACTGGATTTTGATGCCACAGTGCAAGCCTCCTTGGCAGCTGCAGCAAATCCAGAGCTTTGTGGCACCAGCCATACAGCCTGCTTCTGAGCTTGAAAGAAAGGACAGAAATTGCACTTGAAATTGACATCTGAACACAGAATTTTAGGAGTTACATATTGACCATTCAGTACTAAAACTATATTAACAGCTCCTGAAATAAGGCCTTTCCCAGGAGTCCCTCTCCCACCGAGAACTCCTATTTCTGGGCTATCCTGTGCTTTCTCTGTCCCAATAAGCTCAAAAGAAACCTTGGAAACTTCAAAGTGGACAAAGAAGTTGAGGTAGCAGCTGAGTGGTGCCAGTGGCAGCTGTCAGATGCAGAAGGTGACTGTGGACTTACCCTGTTTTAGTACCTGTTTAGGACCCCATGTCTGAATCCTTCCTTCCTGACTCATATCAGCTGTGCTCTATTGACCCATCAGTTTCCATCCAGACATTAAGCCTCATGTGATTATTAATTTCCCTGAGATACTCCTTCAGAAGTAACCTATAACTCTATTTACAAAACTTGCATGAGAAGAGTAGATCTTTTCAGAGTGCTTTCTTCTTCTTAAAACGATACCCAACCTCCTTTCAGCATCTCTTTATTAAATTGCTTTCCACTTAGCTGCATATAAACCTACTCCTTAATTCCACCATCATATATCTGCACTTCACCTTATACAAATAAGTAATTGCAAGGTGTAATCAATCCTTATCTGAGGCAGAGATCAGCCTTGGCTCTATTAGCAACACTGCAATCAATAAAGCCATCCCAAATTAAACTAGAAAATGGTCTTGTCCTACATATCTTTGATCTAGACCATTTCAGCCCATTGTGAATTAAGATGGTGATGCAGCAAACATCTCTGTTATACCCATTGACTTTCATCCAAGTAAGATCCTGCTTGCTCCAGTGACTCCTAGCACTTAATGAGTTTCTTTACATATCCTTCCTGTCATGCCAGTCCAAATAGTATAGTTAAAAGAAAAGATGAATTTATCAAATATTAAACGGGTCCTACATGCACACAGGAAAAACAAGTTTATACGTTTTTTTTTTTAAACCTGCCATTTAACAATTTAATCTCCCTGTGACTAAACACTAAATATAAATACTGCATTAAATTTCCCAAGCTTGTTGCATCTGATGGAACCAACTTAGAGCTCATTACTACAAGTATACACTAATGAGATCCCTTTGGTATCACTACAATACAGTGATTAATTAAAGAGCCCACATTTACTCATGGGATATATCTTCCATGTATAGAGATTCTCCCTTACTGTTTAAAAAACTAGATACAAGCACATTTTTTTAAAAAAGTTAACAAATTTACCATCACAAGTTGGTAAGTGTTTCCATCTTACAGGTGAGAAAATCAAAGCACAATGGCATCACCAAGCAACCCAACAGGGCTCATTGCCAAATACAGAATCAGGAGAAAACTGGATCATTTAGGGCAGTTTTATAAGGCAAGCATTTAATTCCAAATCAAACTGGTCTGAAATCACCTAATTCACCACTTAAGATTTTCTCAAAGGAAGCTGATTTGGTGTTTTCAGCCCTGTCTGAATTTCTCCAATGACACCTTTTTGTATCACAATGAACAACGTTAGTGGGTATCTTGCACTGTGAACACAAATGCACAAATGAACTGCAATGAGTCCAGCCTCTCTTCAGCTCCAAGGTTGCTCCACTGAGCCACCACCTCCACTTGCTTCAGAACAGGGAACTCCCTGGAACATTTTCATTTTCTGCCTGACTGTGGCATCCTCTGCTGAGTCTGAGAGCTGACACAATTAGTACAAAGTAGCATGTGGCAGCAAGCCACAGAATGTACTGCATTTCCAAACAATTACAGCCCATTTTGTTGGTGCTGGGAGACACGAGTGCTCAGCCACTTGAGAAGTGCAATTATGTGCTGGAAATGCACTGCCTGGAACAGTCCCTCTTACAAAACAGAATTTACCAGCTAAAATTGGAAATCAGGAATAGAAAGTTTCTTTGTCTCATGCTGTTTATTGGAACTCCAGTTATCAACCCCGCTGCTTCTTTCCTTTTTACCCAAAGCTTATGAAAATCAAGGCAAAAAAAAATCACAATTACTATCCCACATATTTTATAGGGATGTTTAAATTCTGTGAAAATATCATTCCCTTTATAAAATATTATCGTTCCCTTATCACAGAACTGAGCAACACTTAGTCATGTCTGTGTACCTTCTGGTGTCAACAGGGAAAACATAAAAATTTTAGGAAGGTATCTCAGTCTGATATATTTCTATCCCTGAATATCTATATCACACATTGAAAGATTCTAGTTCCAGACATTTGAAATCGAGTTTTAGGTCTCTGTGCTTGTTTAAAGGGATATAAGTAGTAGGTTTTTGGAGGCAAGGTGAGGAAAGAAAGACTCAGAGACCTGTTAAGGTCAGACTAGGGTAGATGAGAGAAAGGCTGGACAGAATGAAACAACGAGAGTAACAGTAGTTTCAAAAAACAGAAAAGAAAAGAAATTTTAAAAATCCACCCTTTCATACATAAGCATATAAGCAGACAAAAATGTCTTCTTCTGTTTATCTCCTAATGACTTCCTCAAAGGAAAGGAACCAAGAATTATATAGTAAAATGCTCAAGCTGAGAACTTAACTATGGCAGTTGCCTACAGTAATGTAATTGCTATTTCTCTAGAATTAAATTTTTTTAAAGGGTCAGTCCATAAGCATGTCTGTCCAAAAGTCTATATATTTTTCGTTTTTCTGGACAAGTAAAAGCACCTGCAATGGCTTTTTCAGAGCTTTGCATGGACTGGCCAGCATGCTGGAGCTGTCTTCAGCTGTGAAAACGTGCCTGCCTGCCTTAGGTCACTGTATTCCATCTTCCTTGCAAACCAGCTTTTGACTCACAACAAAACATACAATTCACAGGTTTTGGACTTCCCACTCCACTGACATTCAGATGAAATTGGTCAACAGGTTCAACCAAGCATTGCTGTCAAGCACAGGGACAGAGGGGGCATAGGAAGGAAAGGACATGGATAATGTGCACAGGATGCATTTGCATGAGAAATCAGCATGAAACACATAGAACAGCCTTACAGAAGAAAAATAAACCCATCTGTCCTCCAATCAGTTCCATCAGGAAAGGCAGTCTGGGGCAAGAAAACGTTTTTTTCTGAATTGAAGGAGGCAATCTTTTTGTACCATTTATACCTGCTCACATCCCAATAGGTGGAAAGCTGTCATCAGTCTCAACCCGAGGAGCAGCTCTAATTCCAAGAGGCCCAAACAGAAATAAAATGAAAATACATTTATTTAACTTCTAAGTTATTCTCTTCAGAATAGGCATTAGATTACTTTGTATCTGAAACAACTACATTGTCCACAGTGTTTATTAAAAAAAAAAAAAATCTGAATGCCTGCAATAGCATTCATCTACAATGAGCATAAAGACAACAGATTTAAACTGGAAAATTTACAAATGTACTCACAAATATTATTGTTCCACTTCTCATACTGAGACATCATATAAAGAGAAAAAGTGAATTCATTTATCCAATGAACACAGCACAGCAAAACTGTTGTATATTAGATCCGTAGATCACATGTACAGTATATTAAATTCACTTAGTAGACAGACCATTATGTTTCCATGTAAAAGCCATTACAAATAATAAATATTTAAATATACATATGACAAATAATGTGCCAGGATTATGCAGATAATTCATATTTAATTCAATAGTTGCTTCATTGCTAACAAATAGTAATGAACAGACCACTGCATGTTCTCCAGCATGATACATTTACTTTACTCAAATAATTTTCCAAGCACATACATGTCTGAACTTTTCAATTAATTTCAGCCTAAGGCACTCAGAGCAAGTACTGCACATTATCAGGTAGACTCTCAAAAAATAAATCTAGTTTATCTCATTTCCTTTCTCATTGCAGTCTTTATCCTGAGGAAGCATCAAAATGTCACTGCTCCGAGAGAAATTAGGTTAGTAGGAGCCCTCTTTTCATGTACCCCTCTCAGAGCAAGGAATAGGTTTGAAGGTCAGTTCAGTATTCTCCACCAGTACAAAATCGAATCTGCACAGCTTTAGCCTACAAAAGCAGAAAAAGAAAAAATAATCATAATAGAAAAAGTTAACTTTAACAGAAAAATATTTCAGTATTTGAATTATTAAACGTCCAGTATTTACCAGCTCTCAGAGACAGTACTTAGGATAAAAAGTGTCTCCTTGTCTAAGTTTATATCCTATTTCATGCATTCCTAGAGTAGCTTTGACAGACTGAAAAACAACTAAACATCAGCTGGATGATGCAGAGAAGTGTATCACACTGGTCTGAAGTACAAAGATGCAGCATTTAATCCATTATTGCTATTAATCTGCATTCAAATTAAATCTTTTGCAGCATGACACAAAATCTGGGCAATTCCTGTTAACATAGGGCCTGAATAATTTATTTTGAGTTCCCTTGGTAGGAAAATTCTCAGCTTTTATTTTACATAGGAAAGTAAAGAACCACATCATAATATTTTCTCTTTCACTTGCAATGACAGCACGTGTAAAAAAATTTAATGCAAGAGAGCCATTTGTCTCCTAAACACCTAGAAAACTTACAGCTGACTAATACTGCACGAACACATAAAGAGGCCACACAGGGAGCCACATATACATGAAAAACATGCTTTTTGAGGTCAATATAAGTGCTCTGCCTTTTAAGGCAGAGGCAGGTCACAGTCCTGCTCTTCATGCATTATTTTAATGTATGGGGAGAGATGGGTGAACAGCCAAATGAAGGACACACCCTCTAATGGCACCTCCATTGCATACAAGCTATGCGACTTATTTTATTTAAAATTATCTTCTCTATTGCTCTGAACTCATAGATATGGCTATACCACACAGTTCATTTCAGCCTGGGATGTAAAATAGAGTGAAATAGCAAAAGGAGAGAACAGCACACCAGGCATTTCTGGTTTTGCCCATTCATATGAGATTTCCAACCAGTTAAGGCTCGACCTGTCTGTATGTGAAAGGACTGTCAGATTTCTACTTAAGAATATGACACCTTTTAAGGTCTACACAAAGTAATGACAGTAATTTTATGACTAAAAATATCAAGATGAATTCTGGTGTTCTGTAAAATGCAAAGCATAGAATTTCATCCACTCCTTCATCAACAATTTGTTTTGATTTGAATTGTTTCATTATTATAGTAGTTTTGCACAGAGGACAAAATACCTAGCTAAACCATAATGTTGAATTCTAGAAATAAAAGCTTATATTTCCCAACATATTTTATCTCATTTGAAGTGCAATCCATCTCAGCTTGTGATTACTGAGTAACAGGAATGCCTCACAGGAGCAGAGAGCAGGTTCACCAACAAGGAGCAAAACACAAAAAATGCTTTTGTTTGGTGAGGCTTCCTTAACCCCTCAACACAAATGGATTCTCTGCTGTCTACTAAAAAGCACGGGCATGCTCCACTTGTTCAGAAGAGGTATTTACAAGGTCTTCTGTATATTATCTCTGTTCTTGTTTTGTTTCTTGTTTCTTTCAAAAAAACCCAGAAGTGTCTGGGCTAATGACAGATGAGAAATATCTTTGAGACATTCACCTTCCCCTTTAACTGAGTTTGAATTCACTGACAGGTTTATAAGCTTTTTGGGATAACTGACACCTGGACATGCACAAGTTAGCAAAGCCTTCTGGTTTCACGGGTGAGCAGAAATGATTTATCTCAGGGATCAAAGAAAAGCATGAAAATTATATGTACCTTTCAGCACTCCCATATTCACACACCATCTGTGTGAATAGTAGACCACTCCAGCAGACAATTGTCTGTGATAATCCCCAAACTCCCACAGTTTGCCATTAACCCAGACCTCGGGAGACTGGGACTCCTATTGTCTTTTATCCCTGCGTCTGTCCCTTGGTTTTTATCTACTACTTTGTTGTGAATAATTTGAATATTTTTAATGTAGTTTCTAGTTGATCATCCTGTATTTAAGTAATTGTTGTAATTATATGTAAATAAGGTAAATATAGGTTAGTATAATTACAATGAGCAATTAGGTAATTATACCAAGCAATAATGCTGTAACATCTGCATTTAAATTACCTTCACATGCTGATTCAATATAGTATTTTTTAGTGTTCTCTAAAAGTATCTAACATGCCTCTACAGCTGCAATCTGATGAGGCTCTACATGAAGGACTTTAGTGGATCCTATATTAAAGCATATCAAGTGCTTCTTACTTTTAAACTAACAAGAGTCAGACTAACAGGAATGAAAAGTTAAACCCTGTAAGGGCTGTTCACTGAAAATCTTTCTTGTTTTCTTGCTAGATCATTATTTTAAAAAGTCCCAAGTGCTGACAGGCTTACACAAAATATATCTTCTGATTTATCACCACTGAACTGAGAAAAAAATTGGAATATGATTTAGAACTTTTCACTCTCTCTCATCACCAAATTATTTCAAATAAAATCATGCCATTTTCACCTGAGATCTTGAGACTTATGGCTTTCAATAAGTAAATAAAGTCAAATGTATGTACATTCTGGAATACTATTTTGAATATTGAGTGTTTTGTTTCTTCCTAACTCTCTCCCATTCATCTCCTTTTTCTCGGTAAATCTATAATAGTAGATGAATTTAAGAAGGTTTCATAATTTTTTGCAAAGTATCATACCCAATTTCTACTAGGCTATTATTATACACCATATAAGAAATCTTCAAATGTTACATCTCAAGTTAATAAAATAAGATTTAAGATTTAAGACTTAAGATTTATTAAGTATTGTAATATTATCCTCACTCATTACTCATTTGATATTACTTATTTGATAAACATTTCTAGGTTTTTATTTTAAATTCTGACTTTCTTAAAGCTGACATTAATAAGAAACAAAGTAACAACTCTCAAATACAGTATTCTTGCTACTCCTGGATATTTTTTACCTATTCCATGTAATATGTTCTTTTCACGAGATGCAAATGCAAAATTTAATTGCTAGTGTTACTGTACAAGTAAATTTGGAGATTTAAAAAATGAATATATAGTAATACTGCTGAAATATTTTAAACATTAGTAATTACGCTCAATTACAAAAAAACCAAACCAACCAAACAAACAAACAAAAAAACAAAAAACGAACAAATAAGCAGATTATTTAATTTTAACTGGAAGCAGACACAGACTGTGTTCTGATCTTAGAATAACTTTTTACCTTTATCAATAAGACCAAAAAAACTATTCCAGTTGCACATGTCGCTGAAGTGCTCAATTTCACACCTGAGTGTGAAAAGCTCTGTACAGACACATGAGAAAATCAGAAAAGTGCTTGATAAAATTTATCTTATGGAGGAGAAGCTGACCATGCAGGTGTAAGTCAGGCTGGTCCTTGAAAGCACAGCTGTGACACACAGCATGTGTGACACCTCCATGTACAAGCTGCTGTGCACTAAATGTCAATGTACACAGCAGCTCTTCCACATGACCAATTTGATCATCAGGAGTAATATGCAATTAAAAAAAATATTGCAGGGAAATACAGTTTACTGAGAAACATTCTGAGCACCTGAGTTGACACCCAGCTGTGATACATGGCAAACACTCACCTTTTTGGATTATTAAGAGATTTCAGCTTCATCTGAAGAATCCTAAGCTTGTGCTTTGGGCCTATTAAAGTCTTTGTAGAATAGGTCAAGGAAATTTTTGCAATGTTTTCAATGTCTCGGTGAAATCCAGTCAGTATTTTGACTCTTTTATATTGCTGAAATGTTGAAGCTTCACTAAAGAAAAATATTTAGTCAGGCTTTTGTTAACTGAGTAATATTCATTATTGCTAAGCATTATCATTAAACTGGGAAATCTTGTGAGATGTATCAACCTTGAGTATGAACGAGGACAGCTAGTACAGAATTCAAACCAGTATCAAGCAAGGACCTGGGAAAGGATTGTTTCAGTGCAAGGGCATTGCCCCTGACACTGAGCCACATCCAGGAATTGGTGCCATGGCTAAGTCTTAACAAACTCAAGATATTTTTCAACTTACAAGCTAACAAGTTAAAAACTTTAGAAAACTCAGAAAATTAGTCCCACAAAGTGATAAAAAAAGATTTAAAGACAAAGAACAACATACCTATTCATCTGTGACTCTACTGTATTCCCAGCATAGTCTGTTATTTTAACTTTAATGAAACCTTTCCTAGTGCTTTTATTCCAGGTAGTAATGTCCAGTATGTAATTATACACTGCAGGAAGAAATAGGAAATCATGAGAGTCAAAAAAATGACCTCAACAAGAAACAGTTGGTATTACCACCCTGTTAAATGCATTCACTGGTAGATGATAGGGACTCTTTACTTTTACACTATCAGTTCAAAGGAGAATAAAAAGCTGACCTGCCTTGCACCCTCAGAAACCCTGACCTGGACTTCTGTAGCCATCACCAGTACTGGAACCACACACCTTTCCTGCTCCCAGTCAGGACACCAAGTAAAACTTCCTTTATTTTTTGGCATGTTGCTTATTATCATTCTCTCCTTTATTTATTTATAAATAAATCTTTTTCAGACTGGTTTGTTTTGCTTCCTGACTTTGCATAGTTTTTTTCTTCTTGATTTTGCATATTTTCCTTTAAATTTATACTGTCATTACAATATTACTTATTCTGCTCCATGTGCCTCCTCCTATCTTTGATATTTCTCTCCCTCTTTTTTCTCTTCTACCACCACCAGAGAGGGGGCAGGGGAGAACAGTAGTACCAGGTTTGGGTTGAGCTGAAAGACATTGGGAAGCTGTGTTATTTTATGTAAATTTTATGTAAAAAGAAAAAAATTATGTAAAATCCATCACTTCATTCACCTCTCCTCAATGCTTTGGAAGATACAGGGATATCAGCAAGCATGACTAGGACCATGTGTCCCTGGTCACAAAACTAATGGGAGAACCTAATTTCACATGAATTCCCTGCAAGCCTATCCCCAAACCCTAAATGAAAGAACCTTAAACATAACTGATTAGAAGTGTGTGTTGCACTCGTTCAGGGTGATGAAGTATTTTAATACAAACTGATATTGGATGAGAATCTAGGATGTACCCACATGGGTAGGTAGATATCCAATATATAAACTGCTGCAGCTGAAGCCCATGCCATGAAAGCTCATTGTCTAATAATTGTATAACCCTGAAGCTGTCAGCCGAGTTTTCTCTTCACTGTTTTACTCCTGGGGAGACATGCAGCAGCTTTTGCTGACTGTAGGGTGATCTGCTCCCGGGATGGAACACAGAGGTGGCTCTTTTTTGTCCTCCACCCAGGGCACTCTTACTTCCCTTTCCTGCTCTCTGAAAATAGCAGCAGCACTCCCATCTAAGCAGGTTCCATCAATCCAGCTTTTGCCCTCCCACTTGATTCTCATTTTCTGTCTTCCTTCTTCCTCTTGGCAGTCTATCTCACTACTTTAAAAGTTACATTTCTTTCCCACTTCACACACCATCATTCTTCTTCTTCCTCCAGTCTGTGAACTAACACTTAGTTCATGGCTTTTTACATCATCTTACACAGTGGCTAGCCTTAACTTGCTACTTTTAACATGTTTTCACTCCAGATCAGCTAAAAAATAACAGTGATAATTTTTTATAAAGCGTTTTTATGCATGTCTTTAGTCACTCACTGCAGAATGGGTCCTGGCCCGAGGTATCAAAGTAAGCTTTTGTTGGTGAGCTATACGGTATCAGCCGGTTTTTCCATCTATCAGCATGATAACCTGAAATCCAAAGTTTAAATATTTCATTTCAGACATTTAGCAAAATCATGATATGCAAATGTTTACACAAATGAATCTCACACAGTGACAAATTTGGCTTTAATTTTCTTAAATATTCTCTGTGAAAGAAAACTGACGAGAAAAAAGAAGGAATCCTCTGAGTAAAACAGACTGTAGTATGCAAGTATTTACTTCCTCTAATATATTAGTATCACTAAAATGCCATAATGTAATAGTTACCTCTTTAGTCTAGACACTAACTCCAAAAAGTATTGCCTACAAAATCCTGCAGAGGTAACAAAAATAAACCCAAAACTGTAGCCCAAAAATTTGCAGGGAGCACTTACAGAATAGATTTCCTTTCTTTCTTTTGAATCATTAAATATTTTTAAATTCTTTAGCCTATTTGTAGATATTGTTTAATAAAATATAAGAAACTCTGCAAACCCCCTAAGCTCAAGGATTTAACATAGAAAGAAATTTACATAATTCCATTATTCCTGTCACTGGGGTTTGATAACAGTCCTTGTTTCTAGAATGGATGATCCTGTTCTCTCCCTGTTAATCTCTCTGCTTGGACAAGGAGGGCTAATTCCAGGCTGCACAGCTGCCACTGCAAAGCAGGAAGCAGGAAAGCTTGCAGCACAAGGATGCTGCTTCTCCACTCAATTCCCAGAGTCAGCAGCACACTGAAGAAATATTTCTCCACCTCTATCTTGGGCATTCTGTACAAGTGCATCAGGCATGGCTAATAACCTCGCTGAGGGAGCTCTGGAGTCTTTCTTTTCTACTATAAAGGCTCATTGTGGTCAGAGTTTTTATCATAAAATAGCACACAGATTTATCTATCCTTTTCTTTCTAACCTGATGCAATATAGCATGCACATCCCAGCATAAGGGCTCAAAAAAGGATAAGATAAAAACTGAAAGTTAAGTTCTAATTATGTATTGTTTAAATTTCATTCTTAACAAAACCCTGCCAACAAGGAAATGCTCACACTATTGTAGCTCTTTTCAAACTTCACCCAGATCCTCTCTAAAAGCAACAAACCCCCAAAACAATTAAAATCCCCTCTAAATAAAATCTTGATTCCAAAGGAAGAGTGAAATAAGCCATAAAGTTGCTTTAAACATTAATACTCTTAAATAAAAACCACAGGTCCTCTAGGGCTCATAAGACACTTCTAAAGACTGAAGTGATGAACTAAACACTAGCAGTTCCTCTCTAGAAGGGGAAACACTGAATCCATTCCAGACCAGAAAGCATAAAGACCAAAGAGTAGGAGCAGTCAGCACCTGTGCCTAACACAGATAACTATAAAGCAGACAAACTCATGAACTCTAATCTACTTTAACTTCCCAGGAAATCTCACCCAGCCCAGAACAGATATGGTAACACTTACCCAGCACTGGGCAGGACATTGGTTGGAAAGCATCACAATCAATACATTTTCCTCTCTTGTAATCCAAGTAAGAGTCACAAGGATATGTAATTATGTCGCACTTGCTTTTCAAAGATGATAAAAAGAGGAAGACAGATCTCTGATGGTCACATTTAAAAAATTTCAATCCTTCAGGAAAGAAAAAAATATAAAAAGAATATACTTTTTATTAATGAAAAATGGTGTTGTATAAGTAAAATCATAGAATGGTTTGAGTTGGAAGGGACCTTAAATATTATCTTGTTTCAACCCCTCTGCCTTGGGCAGGAACACCTTCCACTACACTACATCAGAGCTCCATCCAACCTGGCCTCAAACACTTCCAGGGTTCATCCTGTGGTACATCCAACTTCTCCATGAAATCTGTGCCAGTGCTTTACCACTCTCTCAATGACAGTTTTGGCCAAAAAAAATCACTATGAGGAACACTTCAGACATTTTTCTCTCTACTTTTCTGGAAAAATAAATTCCTTCCTTTTCTGAAAAAGCAAACTTTGGGAATTGTAGAGATGACCATTTGGCTGGCTTAAGGGATTCTCCCATACTCACAGACACAAGTGGAAGTCTTATGCCTTTGCAGCAGCTCTAAGTGGTAGCAGCACTGTGCAGTTTAGTAATGGGAAACACTGACAGAAACAAATATATCCAGAAGAGCAAGCAAAAATAATTGCCAGCAACCTTGTCTAACACTCATGGAAGTTGAAATAAGCAAAATTCTGCATCAAAAGACCATTTCATAAAACCTTTTCCATTCTAGAGTCTAAAAGACATATCTGATGCCAAAACCTAGCTCATCATTGCCAGCCAGGAGGAACCTAAACCACAGTGGGGATGTGGAAGCCTTGCCTTCCATGTCATAGGCAAGGAATCCTGCCTGAACCACTGGGACACAAACACCTTCCTCCATGCCTGGACCCATACAACCATGGAAAAATAATGATCAGTATATTCATTATATATACTGATATATATATATATATAAAATGTATATATATATACTGATGAATCATGCCAGTCAGGCCAATATTAATGATATGATGGGATATGTATGTTATAGCAAGATTATTTTCAAATATCTTTATTATTTTTCATTTGATGCATAAGGATGGAAAAAAAGAATACAGTCTCAGGTCCCATATCACTGACTAAGTGCAGTGTACATTCAATTCAATTTAACCTTTTTAAATTTGATCTCAAACTTTTCTTCTCATTAATTAAACATATTTTTATTTACCACTTAAAAATGTTTTTGGACAACCAGGCTGATCCATTCCTCCATTTGGATAGAAATCAATGGTTCCTAAAGGCTTCTTGAAACCTAGTACTAGAGTAAAAACATTATGAATTAAAAAAAAAACATAAACAGAATTACAAAGGCAATTATTTATCATCACATTCACTCCAAAAATCATGGAAATTTTAAAGAAAATTATGGAAATTATACCATTCTTTCTATACTGTAAATCGAAGTCATACTATGAAATAAAAGTCAAGGGTTTTTTTCTCTTTAAGAAAATTATATATATGTAAAATGCTGTACACAAATGTATACAAAATTGTGTAAGATTCATACTGCTGCAAAAGGGAAAGAACAGAGACAGATGTAACTGAAATATTATTTACATAAATAAATTTATGAAATTCACGTTCTCTTCAGCAACCAAAATTCTTTCCCAGTGCAATTTTCATGAGAGTAAATTTTTCCATTTTTTGCAGGACATTGGAGTCTGAAGTACACTATTATTAGCAGTAATTTAAAGTAGGAAAAACTGTATCTGTCCTATAAAAGTAAGCAAAATTCCATGAGTAAGAGTTAATTCAATCTGACCTGCCTCCCTTTTTACCACACATTATCATTATTCACATAGTGGGAACATTACAAAAGTTGGTATTTTACATCCTCACATTTAAATTTGTATAGGAAAATACTTAAATTGAATATTATGAGGGAAACTGATATGAAACAACACAAATAATAGGACATTTGTGGTATTAAAGGTTTATTTATAATTTTGAGGAAAAACTGAAACCAGAGATTAAAGCATAGATGAAGCAGACTTTATAATGTTCTTCTTTTTAACCTTACAGTAATATGATTTAGTATTTTAAGCAGTGGCTCTGTGGTGTACTAAATTGATACAGCAGAGCCTGTCTCAGAAAGGATTAATTCAGTGATAAACATGTGCTTACAACCTCTGTGCTCATACACACTGGCCCAGCAAAAGAACGTTCTCAGTAACACAAAATATTCTCCTGCAGCACTATTTGGATGTTACTGAAACAGCTTATCCCTTCTCTTTCGCTTTCCTGCCTTTCCTCGGGCTGAAATAGGCAAGTCAAGGCTATGTTTTTACCATCAATATCTGAATGGATTACATCCACAAACTGTGCATCAGTAGCATCCAGTCTGCGCTCTGGTGGTTCTCCAGTGAACGAGGGGCCTGCTGGATCCAGACCTGAATAAAAACAACATTTGGATCATAAACCCTGGGCTCCTTCTACAGATGTATAGAAGACTTACATCTGAGCATTATTCAGCAGTGACTTTTCATTCTCTTGGTATATTTTTTTTTAATAAAAAGCATAATTTTTCTATTCAACTTGCTAAGAAAAGCAAACATTCCTACCACAAGACTGATCAACCCATATCTATGAATTTCTTTCCATAACTAGATGTGCTCATCTCTCATTTATTCAGATAAATATAAACCAACAGCTTTGGGGATCAAATCAGGAGAATTTGTTTTTTCTTTTCCCCAGAAAATACTTGTAGCTATTATACACTTCATAAAACCAAAGTGCACAATATAACTGCTCTCATCTTCAGAACACAACTAGTCAGACACTCAGGTAGCATATCATTTAACTTAAGTGGCATTTAGCTGTAGCACTCAATTTTCATTTGAGAGACTAGAGGCAACCAGGTTGCAAAATTTAATCTGTAATTTATGTCCTGAAGGCAGACTTGCTCAATTTCCTGAACTGCTATCAGGGCTATATTTTTCCTCATGTATGTCATCAAATATTCAGTTCTCGTTTGTCGAAGTCTCAGTGCTCTGACAACAATAAAAGGTACAACAGAATATGTACACTGGGATTAAAAGCCTTACCTGTAATTCTGCCAAGTTTGCCATTATACTTCTGGCCAACAAAACCAGCTACATGAGCACCAAGACTAACACCAATCATGTACACAGAGTCAAGAGAAGCTCCACCCACCTATAAGGGGAAAAAAACCACCAAAGCCAGTCACACACAGAATTAATGGAACAGAAATCAGTAGGCTGATTTAGTTTTCGCTTTTTTCACTACTTTAAATTATATTTCTGACTTTCTAACTCTAAAAAAAAAAAAAAAGGTATCAAAAAGGTATCATGAAGTTCCTTTCAGTTTACAGTTCTATATTAGTTAAAATGTAGAAATTATGAAATTCTTTACCTAGAAAAATGTAAAAAGGAAGCTTGAGTCACATTTCTCCTGAAATGCCACATTGGTTAGATGGGGAGCAGGGAAGGGAAGAGGAAGACATTTGTCAGATATAAGAAATCAAAACTACGAATGAGGAAAATAACCCCTATTTCCCTGCTTTATCCTTCCAATAAAGTAAATTAAAAACATAATACCATTAATAAATACTTATGCCACACAACTGCTGAATAATGTTACCAAATGCATACCTTAAAATGACCATTCTACAAAGCAGGCAGTATTAAAAAAAAAAAACCAAATAAAAACCTACTAAAGAATTCTAAAACAGTGTCAGCTGACCTAGTTGGAATCCCTGCAAAATGATGGGGAGACACACAGGATCTGAAACATTAATATGTCTGAAAATTAATTAGAAAGGCATCACAACAGCTTGCAAGTGTGAAACTGATAGCTGTGGGACACTACAGACCCCTCCCTCCCCCACTTTCAGGACTCACACACACTGCCACTGTTTGCCAGGGAGATCTGTAAACAGCAATTCACTTGGAGACTCTTCTTATTGTCCTATTTATTTTTTTTTTTTTTATTCCATAACAATAAACCTACTGGCACAATTGAAAATTGCTATCACTGAATCTAGTCCCAGAGCACAGATTCTGATAGGCTTTCCCTCCTTTCACCTCAGCCCTTCTCAAAATGCTGGATGTTTTTCTCAAATTCCATGTCAATATTTTTTACTGCACAGCATTCAAAAATTTCTGAATTTCTGAGAAATAAGTGATGAAAAAATAAGAAAATTCACGTGACAAATCAGACAATGGCATAAATAACATCATGCCATGTTTTGTTCATTTGATCAAGCAATAAATCTATAGCCCAATTAAGACCACTGGCATCAACTATGGTTTCAGCAACTGCCTCTAGAGACAAGAAGTTTATACCATTTTGGAATTAATATTTGTAACTTTGCCAGCGGTTCATTTTTCATTTAAAACCTTTATTTATAGTAGGTTAATAGTAAAAAGAGTAGTGCAATGCCTTTGTAAAATGTTTATACTGCATGCTATTTGAACACCTCTCCCTTCACTTCCCCACTGCTGAATTCACTCTTTCCAGACTAAAACTTCCAGCTGGTTCAAGAAATCAGATGCACTTTCAGGCACATTTCAGTGAAAGGGAAACAAGAACTCAGGTGAAGTTAAATATATGCAATAATAACTGCATGTAAAGTTAGTAATACCTCTCTAAAGAAATGTGATTTGATATTGTTCACTGGACTTCTCTATAGATATATTTTAAATACCCATTCCCACTCAAACCATGCTCTTGACACTTATTCAGAATAGATGCAATGCTCTGCCTTACCAGCATCTGGTCAATATAATTCTTCAGTATTTCTGCAACTTTTCTGCAGTTTTCCACAGCAGTAATGTAATTCACAGTGGTAGCACCACGATTCCAATCAACTATAATGAGATTAATATCCTCTACAGACAGTAAAAGCTCCTTCATGTCACCCAGCCATGCTGGAGGAGATCCTGTTGGCCTGAAGCCATGAATAACAAAGACAATTTTCTTGGTTGTATTCAGGTACTCAGATGCAGTAACGTTGTGTTCAATGAGTCTCTCAGAACAATCTTGATTTTTCCTCGTGTATAGGAGTAGCTGAACATGGAGTTCTGTTCCAGACAGAGCATTGCCTATGTTAAGGTCTGTAAATTCGGGACATTTTTGCTCCTCATCTGAAAAAGATGAAAATGTTAGACAGTCATTTGATGAGTTGGGCCACCTGAAATACCACCTCCTCACTTTTCTTTCCATATGTCTTTCTACTGAAAGTGGAGAACTTCCATTTTTTTTACCCTTGACTTTTGGAAAGATGTGTCAATACATGCACTGAACAAGGAACCACACGAAGTTCAACTAGTAACTCTGCAGATACCATTATGCTTATCCAAACCCTTCAAATGTGAAATTATCCTAATTTTTCTTGAACAGTGTCTTTTTCTCCTTAAGTACTAATTAGTAGTCAGTGTATATCTTTTACTTCACCATCAAAGGCAGGTTCTCAGAATTTTTCACAACAAGTGTGTGCTGTATAAACAGGAAGGCTGCTGTGGTTGTTTCTTCCTCTTTGGAGGGTGGCTGTGCTGCCAATCCTTAGACCTTATTTTGTTTCATCTAGAAATAAAAAAATAGCTGCCTGACAGAACAGGAATGATCCAGAATCCTTTCCTAGCTTTGGATCACCATTACCAAGAAAGAAAGAATCTTGCTCTGAGTTTGAAAAAATAAGAATTAAGGTCACAATGTACATAATGGCACAAGGCAAACAGTAGGATTTAGCATTTCTGTCTGTACTTGGACAGATAGGGTGTACCAGGTTAAGCTGGTCAATAAGAGGATGGAGATTTTCAAGAGTCTAAAAAGGTTAAATTTCTCCCCTATCTGGTTACCAACATCCAAAGTACTCACTTTAAAGATATCTTTTGCCTGCTGAGGTCACATTGTGTGGATAAACCACTTCAGGACTCTTGGCAGAACACCAACACCTGTCACAGTTCTGCTATCGCCTCTTCACCTTTGTTATGGTGTTAGTAGGTTTTTACCCAAAGTTTTTGGCCCATCTCTTGACTTTTGTCTCCCTGGTGCCTGATGGCACCTTTCTCAACTCTTTTGTCATTAAAATCTTTGCAAAACAAGTCACTTTCAAGAAAGTGAAAGTGAGAAAAGAAATAGTATATTCTTAGTTTCTTAAAAATAATATTTAAAAAAAAAACCCTCCTGAATTTCTCAATTTTTTTGAGTCATAAGAGAAGCAGTTCCAGCCCTTCTCCTTTTCCCAGAGAACAGCTTGCAGGCAGAATCCAATCCACCATATCTGAGGTGGACAGCAAGACTGCATCCCTTCTTAAAGCTGCAAAAGGCAAGTGTAGGTGCCTTACAAGGTATCTGAAATATGTGTTCAATACTATAGTTCAGGTCTAAGCAAAACTAAACAATGTGAATTACAGCATTCAAGGTGCAGTAAAGATTCAATAAAGGCACTAAAGACACTAGTTTAGGGAACTAGATCAATCACTTCTAGTGCCAAACCATGTATCTACAAGGACTAGATTGGCCACCTCTGGGCTGGACATCACAAAAAAATAATGGGTATAGTCCAAACAGGAGCAGGCTTGAAGTTACACAGCTTTAAAATTAACCTGAAACTCCCTGTTGCAAATCAACCAGACAAAAGTTTCATGCCCATTGTCATGTTATGACAGCAACTACAGTTATTACATGGAGAAAAACACAGAATTATATTTCAAAATAAATACAATTGTTTTCCTCATTTAAACACATTATAATATAAATAACTTTTACTGAGATTTCTAGACAGTTTATTAACTAACAACTAATACAGGAAGGCAATTCATTTCATTGCTTGGACTTGTCCAAGAAGTTCCGAAACAGAACTGTTCAGCTGAATTTAATAAAAATAATAATCAAGAACTTGATAAAAGTCACACTCATGACATGATCCGGAGATGTTAACAGTATGTGTCACATTTGATTTCTAGTTTTCATATATTTATATATGATGGTAAAATTAGAATATAAATTACATTATATTAAATTAATCTACAAAGTGAAAATAAAAACCAGTCACTTGATTATAGTTTCAGAGGTACAACATGAAACTATTTTGCCATTTTGCCTGATGTGGTCTTTAAATCCAAGTTTAATCACTGATCCTTAAAAATCACTCCTTCATATCTAAAATATAAAAGATTCATTATAAGATTTTTCTCTTTATCACTTTAAATATTTTGATTTTTTTTTCTAATCCTCTGATTGGTAGAAATAAAAATTACTTCTTCTAAAGCCAGTGGAAGGACAGTGAGATACACCAGACACAGTCTGTTCCATGGCAGTGAGAAAACTATCACAAGGAAATTATTTTAACTGCCAAACCTATTTACTAATTGGCAAATGTCAAAGGGAAGTAACTCCTTTACTCTTGGCTGTGAAATGACAGAAGTTATTCTTTCAAAAGTAAATAGAGAATAAAACCGAAATGATGATGTCTTTACTGTGGAATTAGATAAGTACTACAAACAGGTTTCTAGATTTAATACTTTGAATTGTTTAGCAAGGAGTCATTGGGGGAAGTTTTTCAAACTCCTATTTCTCATTGAATACTGGAAGCAATACCCAGCTGCCTTCTGTGGACTCTTGTTGGAGTACTCACTCTTTCCTGTACAATCAAAACACACACGGAGGCATTGGGCTGCTACAAATGCAAGTTTAATTTTAATTAGTTTTAATCAAGTTAATGTGTAATTTTAACTTTCTTGTGCACGTTGATAAGCATTTTAATTATCTTATGTGGTTGAAAAGGGGAAAATCTTAAGTGCACAGTCTTTTTTGTAACTAAATTTTACTATTTAAAATGTAACACATAACTTGAAAATCTAAGCACCTATCAAATGAGCAACAACCAATAAACTCACATGAGTATACTAAGACTATTTCATGATTACGTCTACTTTGTACAAAGTGCACATACCTGAGCAGGTCTCTGGGCAAAGTACAAGCCAGAGATAAAGTATCAGGTTTGGTTCTATTTACTTTAAAATGAAACTTATGTCTCAGTTTAAAAGCTCTGGATTTTTTTTTACTGATCATCTGCTCCATTAGGAATAATTAAAAGGATTTTGTCTTAATCTTTTAGCCAATTTAAATGAAGGAATATTCATTTTTTTTAATGTTTGATTAAAGTGAAAGTTCTACATTGCAAGTAAGCTAATGGTTCTTACCTGATTTCACCCAGAATATCAAACAGATGAAGAAACACAATTTCAACATGTGGAAGTGAAGAAAAAAGTGATGTGTAGTATCCACAGACAAGTGGCAAATTGAGTGTTTCCTTATGCTAGACTTCTAACACAACTGAATGACACCAAAGAAATGAGTGAGTAGGAAGCAGAAAGTAAAGCTGTAGTCTAGCTTCTGCAATTTATGACTCCTCCTATTGAGTGACTTCAGTAGATGGGGTGGTTTCTGGGCTTCGAGGGTTGGGACTGATTTTTAATCTATTTCCCTCTCTGTCTATCAGCAGATTTACACGTAAGCAAGTGATGTCATATATTACTGACAACTCCTGCATGCGTGGAGTTTAGGAAGTGAGATAACTAGTGGTATATCCCATTAAAGATCCACAGTGTGGGGGGTTTTAAGTGTTTCACTGAACTGCAATTAGGGGCATTGAGAAAGGCAAAAAGCTTAGAACAAAAAGTCATTCTGCTGACAGAAGGATATTCCTGTTAAAACTTGAAAATAATTCTGAAAACTGTATCTCTGGAGATCATTTTTCCATAAAATTATCATCTGAGCTTTTCCAATGATTCATTCTCTAACCTAAATTCTGAGAGGGTCAGCAAAAGCCTCTCTGGCAGAGAGATAGAGCATAGAGTCCCACAGACCTCACCCAGATATTGACTTGCTGTGTGTTTTTTAACCTCATTCCCTCTGTATCCCACATGCAAAAAAATGAAAAAATACTTATTCTTATGAAGCTCATTTATTTACAAATCACTTTACTGGGTAAATACAGGAGTGCAGATTACAGGTTTTTAAAGTTTGTGGTGAGACAAAGAGGCAATTTATACAGAGAACCCTGCATTATTCATGTGTGAAGCGTGGATGCTCAGTTTGCCTATATCTGTGTGCCAATTATTTCCAGTGCAGGAGAAAGAAAACCATACCATAACCATTCAAATATGATGCAAATGCAACTTAGGTATGTTTTTTGCATAGTATATCCTTCACGGCGCTTCTAAACACAGGTCTGGGTTTCCTTTGGTTCCTTCCACTACAGTTAAGGGTGTGTAAGTAATTAATGTGTTTCATTGCTTACATTTGAGTGATCAGTGTCTTCAGCTTTATGAATCTGAGCAGCTCATCAAAGCTGTGCTGCACAAGGTTTTGCAGCAGACAGCCTTCAGGAGGTGTCATCAAAGGCATCTTTTTCTCTTTGAATGAAGCCACAGGAGAAAAAGATGCAGTATGTCTGTTGGTATGAAAATCAGCTCAGCTCAACAAATGACCTTTAATTTTTTGCTCCCATTTCTCAAATATGTTACTTTGTTTGGAGTAAAGTTCACTATGGCAGCTCTTGAATTCCTTTGCACTTCCCTGTCATCTCAAATCTTTGACACTTTGCCCAACCACTATGATAAAAACACAGTTTTAATGACATCACATATTGCTTAGATAAGTAATGGCAGAGTGTCAGTCTGGCTCTTCCCTCTCCCTACTTTTTAATCTAGATTATTGTTACAACAAAAGCCTAGTGCACCCAAGAAACCTCTAATCAAGGAGCCTCAGCATGCACTCTATATACAGTACCCATTCATATACAAGTTAAAGCATGGAGAGATCAACACCACTAAACCCAAACTGCTAATAGCCCCAGTAAAACATTTACTGGGCTTATCCAAGAGCCAATCACCTGGTCTTAGAAGAAAATCTTACACATGTACTTTTACACGTACCTAATCCACCAGCTGTGAATAAACTGCTAACATTTGTTCTTTCACACAAAAAAAGGGGAAAAGAGAGGACGTTTTAAGTTTCTCTTGAAATGAAAACTGAAATAAGCCCAGCTCACAGTAATGTTGATATAACCCCGCATGTTTTCAAAGCCCTCTGAAACCAATGTTGGGAAAGGACTCCCATACCAAATCAATGTCCAGAAAGTTTTGTGGTATTAATCAGGATGTTGAACTGGAGTGAACTCACGTCTCTGCCATGTGACAAGGAAACTGTGCTCATCAACAGTGGCACTTGTGCTTCTGGGAAATTCGAAATCTCAACTCCTGTTATTGATTATACCGTAGGTTCTACTGACAGCTCACTGTCAAGATAAATCCTTCATCGTGACTCTGAGTTTCAGGTACACTCTCACAAACTCTAAGTTCAGCTATTTCCCATCCCGCTTTGCTGCACTGTTATGCCCATTCATTATGCCTCGTGCTTTTCCCACAAGGATGCATTCCTCCTCACACTGAAATCCAGAGTTATCTGCCTTATGCAAACCAGTGGAGGATGCTGGCAATGCCTCTTCAGGACTTTGACTGTCCCCCACAGTGCTCAGGACTGTCAAGAGTACCACCTGCTGAATAAACCCTGATAATTTTAGGGTTAAAAATAAACCCCACAGACTGCCAGCTACTAAAAAATTCTCAAGACTGGCCAAGTATTCAAGCTGAAAAAAGATATAAAAGTTTCATTTTACTGCAGGAAAAGATTGCTGTGGTTTATCAATAAAATAATGAGACTATTACAACTGAACTTATCTCCAGAAGTTTTTCATAAAATAGCATCTGAAAGCATTACAGTGTGGTTTTTCAAGATTATAATCAAATTCTTACACAAGCCTTGATATGCTGATCTGTGGTCACATGCAAATGGCATTTCCCCTTCTGATCTCCTCTCTGTCCCCAGGGATTCCGAAGTGTTGGGAAATCCCATTCTCGGAACAACTCTCATCTCTCGTACTTCACAAGCCACTACTACAGAAAAATTCTTCTCTAACCAATAAACTTAAGAGCACTGCTCCCTTCCAGGCAAGAGGAAATCCCACTGGGCTGTTGCAATACAGTATGTTTAACTATGAAAATAAGCTGTCTAAAGATTGCAAATAAAGAAACTGACTTGTTGGAAGAAATTTAAGACTTACCGTCTTTGACACTGATGTTTGCAATTCCTGTAAATTGATAATCCCTTTCTAAAGAAACTTGACAAGTTGGTAACTAATCCTCCATTAGAAAATATGGGTGCTGAGGCAGTGCACACCATTTACGCTTTGGAAAATAAATTCTTTAATGGTTATTTTTCACATTGTTGTCATCAGGATGATTTCTGAAAATGCACTCCTTTGTAAAATAACACTTTAAAAATATACTTGGAATGCTGAATATTTGTACACAATTGAAGCCTGTTTGTAGCAACCAGGCAGGTGTGCAGGCAGGTGTAACTCCAGCTTTAAAGACAGCAATACTACTCCAGTAATTTTTATAGAGAAGTGAACAACATCCAACATTGTACATGTGTATTTTGTCACTATTACAATGCTTTACCATGCTGATGAAGGCAGCATTTGGGGAGTGCAGCTTCTTAGCCCAGTTTTCACATAATTAGGTGGTTTCCCAGTAGTTATTCACTGTTCATTTGCAGTTTCACTCAGAGAAGGAAATAGCCTGTGGCATACACAGCTCTTCCCAGAGCCTTGTTCCTGTGCCATGCATGATTCCACTGCAAGGCTTGCCAACATCAACCTTTTCCTCCTGTCAGCAGGGGAAACACAGGAAAGAAAAACTGAACTAAGTCCCTTAAAACATTGAAGTGTCATGCAACCACCACAACACGGCCCCTAGCTGGATCTGTGCCCACTCTGCTCTGTCCTCCTCCCCATCTCCTCCAGCACAGCCACAGAACGTGCATCCCCTCACATGTCACTCTTTCCTTTTTCCATTTCTTTTTCTATTCTATTTATTTTCCCAGCTATACTAGATGTTGAAATAAAATAGATCGGCTTTATTTTCAATCTTTCCGTGCTATTTTATTGTCAGTCTTTTAATTTTTTAAGCCATAATGTGTGCAAAATTAAACTCTTCAGAACTTTCACACTGTTAACAATTCAAGCTTCTGTTTCTCTAGAAGTGCCATTTTTTAGCATGACAGCACACGGTAAAGAGTCCATCAGGTCAACAATTTCCTTACCAGCAGATGCCTCCACCAGTGCCTTCAAATTTATAGTTTTGTCCTTACCAGAATCAAGGTGCAAATGTTAAAATTGCACAGAGCTCTCCTGAACTGGCTCTGTCATTCAAGTGAATGTGAAGGGCACCAGGTGGAGGAAAGACCCTCTGAAAGAATGAGAAAATGGCAGAGTTGTGACAATGACTCACAGAGTACCAAAAACAACAAAAGGAGACAAAGAGAGTGTGGCCAGAAGCAGAGGAAGTAAAAAAACAAAAAACAAACAAACAAAAAAAACCAAACAAGTTAATACTGGATAACTAGATTAATTTTTTTTTTGGTTGGTTGGTTGGTTTTGATGATTTTTGTTGGGTTTTTTGTATTGTTTGTTGTTTTTTGGGTTTTTTTTTTCTATTTTTATATGAGACAAATGCTCATATCTTTGAACTTTATCAAAAATGAATGTTCAAGAGTCATAGTATTTTTGAAAAGTGCCATGTGTATAAGTATATATTGTTGTCTTTTTGCAAATATTAAAATGAATGCTATATGTATAATGTTAGAAAACTTTGCTGAATAAATATAATTTCTTTTAGTTCTACTATTAATAAAACTTAGAAATAGTAGTGTGATAAATATATTTTTTCTTAGACTATAACATAGTAACATAAAAAACTTTTATTCACGTAACTAACTCAAAAAAGTAGTAAAAAGATAATAAAAAAATTCTTCACATTCTTAGATTACCCTAAATCTAAATGAAGACAGGGATGACGAACACCAAAATTTTTTTTAAAAAGGAAAAACGTTATTAATCTCCATTATCAAAAAATGCACTAACAAAAAAGAGCCACAAGAAATAAAAAGTTAATTTACAAGCTAGGAGTGATTTTGAATAATGCATGAAAGTCTATGAATATACAAGTTAATGCATTTTAAAAAGTGTTTTCTAAGTTACTGTGTGCTCTTGGCTAAATGCCAAGCACCCAACCGTTGTAACCTTTTACTTTATCGTCCCTTAC